GCCTTAATCCAGCCCGGTGTGCTGGTACTTAAGGAGATGTCGAGGAATGGTTATGAATTGCGCTGGCCAGGGGCGTGCCAGGGGGTCATGTTTGCACCGGATGGCACCATATCACTACAGTGGATTGACTGTGACATGTAGTAGTGTCCGACCAGAAGGACGAGAGTTTCGCCATTGGGTGAAAATTGAACATACTCTAGAGACATATTAAATGATTTACTAAACAGCTCCTGCATTCCTATACAGTCCCACAATTTCAATGTGTATAACATATGATGTTCAAGTTTATCTCCACTACCTGGGGAGAATGAGCATTTGTGTTCTTCAGCCAGATAGCGATACGGAGTCCTATAGCTGCCTGGCATTTGAAAATAAGACTGTGGGCTATCTCGGCTCCATAGACTGTATATATCTGAGTCATTGTGATGATCATAAGTCAGTGCTCTACTCCCATCTTCACTCCATTTGCTATATTCTCTCTTGAAATCCAATTTAATCTCATCGAGTAGTGTGTGGGGGTATGTGGACAGATTCCATCGAAATAGGATCTTACACTTGCAAATGGTCTGGAGAAGTGGTTGGTGATCTTGGTCATACGACCATAGGACCAGCTGGACAGTACAACCCTTTTCGCCACAGGGGTGCACACTTGTTTCCCCATCTGCTAGCGCTACATCCCATATCCTATAGGCCGCGTATGAACCCCTTGAGCCACCTGTAGCCAACCAGTTACCACAAGGAGACAAACAATGAGTAACGATCCTATGCGTTTTGATTTTTGTATGGGATGGCCAATCATCTTCTAGGCCGATTGTAACTACTGGATGTGGGAATGATCTTATTTTGGAATATACCCGTTGGAAAATGGTGGATTTGGGAGTAAAGGCGAAGTGATAGTAAACGTCCAATGGCTGCGATTGACATTCGCGATGGTATGTCTTCAGAAATCGACTGGCATCGTTCGCCCATGACATCAGCCTTTCGTTCTGACAAATGAAATCAGGGTCACTCGAATATAATGCCATTATCTGCACCTACTAATCGTAGCACTAGGAGTCTCCGTAATAATACCCACGGCTCCTTTGCTGATCTGGTGAGACTGATGATATATATCCAATCCAAAAGATTCTTCTGGAAAAACTGTTCGAGCTGGGTAGATATATCCTTGTGATTAAGAATGCTCGTCACATCACAGGAGGCAAGGTGCGCACTCCAGAAATGACAACTATAGCGGAGCGCATGTGTAGTGCAATCAATTAAGCGGGTTTGGTGAGCCCTCCCATCTTTATGCTTCACGGTCAGCCGAACAAACCCGCACTACTATGTATTTCTTCAGCACACTGGCTCAGCAAGGCCTCTCGCAACTGG